CAAATTTGATGAACTTTTTTTTATTTGAATTCTATGAATCTATAGAATTCAAAAAAAAAAGTTTATCAAATTTGGCTTGGTAATTACTAAGATATCTTCATTCAAAGTTTAAAAAAAAGTTAAATCTACAGAGGGGTATAAATAATAAATTTGGGAGTATAAAAAATAGGATCCTTAATTTATATATAAATCTTGTATAACCTATATCACATAGCTCTTCAGATGACTAGTAAATCATCTATTAAAAATCATTACAACTAATAATCAAATCACAGACTTTAACCTTAATGAAGCATTTAACAAAATTTCTTCTAAATTTACAAATCTACAAACCTTGGCCAGAATTATTGCTTACTATAATATTATTCAAATTTCTAAACCAACTATTACAACTTTTAAAAGAAATCTAAAAAAATCATATCTCGATCAAACAAATTAATATTTGACTAAAAAACAAAATTTCTGTTTTGATAATATCTTATACAGACTACTTTATTACAAATTCTAATACTTAACAACAACAACTTCAACTATAACAACACCTCATTAACTCTATTACAAAAGCTAAAACAGATGTTCTATAAAATAGGTGGGCAATATAAGAAATGAGCTTTGCTAATGATTAGTAATCATTAATTTTTTAATATTAGAGTTGCAGAGTTGGTAGAGTTTGCCCACCTATTCTATAGAACATCTGCTAAAACTTCAAAATTAACAAATAACAACCCTCCTTCAACAACTCTACTATAAAATGAAAATTTCCTAAAATCAATGATGGTTTTTTCTTTTAATTTAACTTATATTATACTTTACACTTCAATATACTTTCTTATATAAACTTATATATAATTAGAAATTAGAACTATTTAACTATTTAAAATTGCTCTATAATTCTGAACAGAATTATTTAGGTCATAAGCCAAAATTATCTTAATGCCAACCAAGTTAAATGGTTAAATAATTAAACAATTAAATGATTAAGAAAATTTTTAGGTGGTTTCAATCCCTATATATAGTCAATTATTTTTTTTATACAGTCAGGCCACTCTATAGTCACCTTCTCTATAATCATATTTGTTTATAATTAAATAAAAATTTAAAACTAACTTATATAATACTTATAAAATTTAACCTCTATATAAGCACAAACTTTCTATAATCACCAAATTCTTAAAACCAAGGGTGTGATTATAGAGAAGTTTGTCTGTATTTATAATGAAATACTATAAATATACAAATTATCCTATATTTTAGTCTTATTTTTAAATTTATTTAATTAAATACTTATTTACTCTACATTTATTTTCTTCTTTTTGCATTGCTTAAAGAAGGTTTAACTACTACAATCTAGGTGAGCTTCAGACCACTCTAGTAGGTTTAGGTCACAGATAAATTAGTCTGAACTTTTATTCTTGCAATGTAATTTTATTTTTATTTGTATTTATACAAATAGTAGTAATTTCGGTTACTATCACCCAATAAAATTATCAATAAAGATATGAGCAAGGCCTCACCTAATACCAAAAAAAACTGGTTCTGATAAGTATTCTATGTGTTAGAATATAAATGCTACATATTATTATGTATTATTATGCTATGTAATCAACGAAATCTATTTCTATATTTCTATATATACTTTCCATGTAGTAAAACTTGATGAAGCTTCCTTGATCGAGCAATAATAATTTAAATCTTAATATGGGACACTTTGCCCGGAAATAAACTCTAGTTAAAAAAAATCTTTTATATAAAATCAGACCTTTCCAAATGTAATCTCTCTAAACGTGGGTTCAAATACTGTATGTACTTAATTTTATAAATATAGTTTTTCTCTAAATGCACGTAATTAAAAGTTTAGTACACATCAGTTACATTTAGAGCGGTCTGACTGTATAAAAAGCTTTTTAAAATTTATAAAAACTTAATCAAGCATTGTTATAAAACCAAGATTAATTATTTATTATCTTTTAATGTATGCATTATATCAGAATCAAAAATTCCAAGAGATTTATTTCGTAAATAAACTCTGATAAAAATATTGAATAAAATTAAAATTAAACCTTAAAAAATTATGCATTTGGCCTAATAAATATGACAAACTTCAAACTTGTCTCGATATTAGAACTTTTGACTAAAGGGAAAAAAAACAAATATACAAGTATGCCTATATTGCATCCTGCAAAAAGGAAACAAACAAAAATATACACCATACCCGAACATAATAGTTTCGGAACGAAAAAAAAAGCATCGATTTACATATTTAGAAAATGCGCATCCATATTAATAGTTTATTAGTTTTCTACGCAAGAGGTCGTGCACAATCACTTCATGCTAAAAAGTTTAACGAATTTATTGTCCGAGAGTAAAATAAATTGAAATATAATCATATTCTTGTATATACATTATGAAAAGAAAAACCGACCTTTTAACAATAAAATAGTTAGTAGTATTTAGAGCTTTTTTTTCAATCTGGTCTGAATACTTTGAAATAAAAGTGAAAGTTAATTACCGGTTGTGATAAAATTTCATCAATACTCTTTGAAAAATTTCGATATGCCAATTTTTCTTGTGGACTACTCTCTCTCCATAAATTTTCAACCACGTTATTAATTACAAGCAAATCATTTTCAGATATCCGACCTGCTTCTTGCTTAACAACTAATTTAAATACGGTGAATGCATTTAAAGGTCTCCGTCTTTTATAATTACGACGGCATAATAACCTTATAATGATATTTGCATCGAGTTGCGGTGGTGGATGGATATTTTGTGGCTGATAATTGGCCCTAAATGCTAGGACTTTTTGTTGAAGATCAGAATGTAAACATTGACGAACCATCTTTTTATATAATAAATTGAATATAAAATTTCGAAAGTTTGAGAGAAAGCGAAAAGAAAAGAAAGATATAACCGTACATTTATTTAACCTTTTATAAAATAAGTTTCTAGCATGACGTAACACATTTAGAACCTTTAACTCTTTGCACGTGCTTATCTAAAATAAAATATTCATATTCATCAAATTTGTCTTTTCATTCAAAAATCATTACAGTAAGTTCTCCAACGGGAGCGTATATTGCAGAAACTCTGACTAGTGGAAATAGAATCTTGACATCTGATCAAAATATTTACTTATCAACTAGGAAGTACACAGGTGAATTCTTCGCTAATGTTTTTAGAAATATGAATTAGTTCTAAACATCGTACAAAATTCGGATAATCCCGGTAAAAAGGAATGTATTCTTTTAAAGATCTACGTTCTTTTGAACTAAATTAGAAAAGGGTTATTAACATATAAAGAAAAATCATCTCCAAAATTGGAGTCATCTAAAGCCGTGTCCATAGTCAAAAATATGACTGGTCACGGCTTTAGACGTCCTCCAAAATTGGAATTTCCAAATTAGTAACTTTAAGAACAACCAACTCTATAAATGAGTAACCTCTTAGTACAATTAAAACATTCCTGAGCGGAATCGGCAATAATTAAAGGAAAAACTATCTTTTAAAATGACTCACCATTTAAAGCTATGCCGCTTGAGGGTACTTATATAAAAATTTGGGATCTAGTCTTGATAAGATTTAGTGAAATAGATAATGAACCAACAACATTGATTCCTATGACAAAAGGTATATATAAATATGCCGTGTTACTACTTACTTGTAACTCAGGAAAAAAATGTGTGGTCGTGTGTACATAAGTGAATAAAGAAAAATGAACTCGAAAATAACGTCACTTTTTTATTACAAATGAGATATATGCTGCAACAAAATTTTCTAAATTAAAGTTCATTTTGAATTTTAATCATATATTAAATATTCATCTCTAATTCAAAGTATTGTATTGCAATTCAAAAAAAGTTTTTTTTTTATTGCAATATTACTTGCTTTTCATTCATTCATGGCCTTCAATTATTCTTTATTATTTTTTTACGGCATTTATCCGTTAATGTAACATTATCCAGTGAAATTAGAAAAACGGCAATTCTTAAATAGTTTTTTCAAAACTACGCACTTTTTAGAGCAAATTTTACAATGAAAATAGCCTGACTCTGCATTTAAATATTTTTTTAATAAAATTATAATTTTATGCAGGTATTGTTTGGACAAACTAAGAATTAATTTGTTTCCTGAATCTTGTCTTTTCCTAAGAATCGCTAAATATTCGAAAATGAATTTTGTGATTGTTAGAAGAGTTTTTGGGAAATAGATTCAATAAATTGCAATTTATGAGAACAACCATAATGTTGGTAAGGTCGGTATAATGAATTTATATAGAAATTAGATAACAAATGACCTTTCAGGTTATGTAACTTTCATGACTAAATATTAATTTTTAGTAAATATTAATTTTTCGAGTAACTTAACTTTCTTATTTTATAAATCTTATAAAGTAAGTAATGTTTACTCAAACTGGATTACCGGAATACAAGAATAGATTCGAAAAATTCAATCCTTAAAAGTATTACCGTACCGCACTGCCTTTAGTACCCGAGTTTTATCAGGAAAAAAGTGTATTAAAGGCAGTGCGGTACGGTATACTTTGTTTCAATATAATGTTTTTGGGAAATGACACGCCTCCTATATATCTGATTTCGACGAAATAAAATGTATACTCGTTATTTCGCGAAAATATAGTAATTACTTTGTTAGAACGGGTCTCGATGTTCGGGATCATCTGTCCAAAATTCTGAGAGTTGAATCGAGTTGAAACCTTCGTATTCGAGTTGAACCCTTCGTATTCGTTCGTATTCAAGTTGCACCCTTCATATTCGAGTTGAACCTTTCATCCGTTCGTATTCGAGTTGAACCGTTAAACCCTTCGTATTCGAATACCATTTTTCCAAGATGGACAACATGTTAAACTATAGAACAATCAAAGATTAAAATTTTTTCTTTTTGTATATAACATTTTTATTTATGAAAAAGGCACGGGTAAACAATAAACTTTCAACAATGACGTGATAATTAAATTACATGATTAACTTAATCTATAATGTAGAATTTAAAATCTAAATTTTTGTGACTGTTCTATTAGAGTTTGTTAATTCGTTTAATCTCTTTGGTATCTGTCTTCTTGAATGGTGGTTTTTATGAAATTAAATCGGCATGCTTTTGATCTGTCTTCTTGAATGGTGGTTTTTATGAAATTAAATCGGCATGCTTTTGACTTTACAGCTTAATCGTGAGTAATCATTACAACAAAATGGATTTATAATTTATACATTTTCATCATCTTCATTGGCTTCAATTTTATACCAATCATCAAAAAGTTGACCGGAATTTGAATAACCATCTCGTTGTAATTCATGCATTCGATAACTATCTCGCGTTAGAGGTATTGTAGGTGAAGGTAATGGTGGTGGAGACCTAGGCAAAGGTGGAAGATCTTCAGTCATTATATTTTGACTCGAATTAGTTAAAAAACTTGAACCAGCGCCGGGACTATCAGGTACAAGTATATTCAAGTCAATCGATCCTGAGGGAAGGCGTAATTGATTTCCATTTGACCTTAAGTTTTGAAGTTGAAATGAAAGATTAGCATCATTTTGACTGGGTCTCGATTGATCCGAAAATAGGTCGTTTGGAGGTACATAATAGCAACATGGCAAAAATATTGCAGCAGATTTTGTTGTTCCAAATATTAGAAAAATTATTGTTCCACTTTTTTTTAAAAAAAGAATCGTGTTAGCATTTACACTAATACGCGATAATGTATGCGTGTTAATACATAAACTTACATTAAGCAACTAGAAAAATCAGCAACAATCGACCACCCACTAGTTTTTTTATTAAGATATTTCATTAACGATGACAATAATGATATTGTTAATGAAATTAAATATATAAAACTTAGAACTACTAAGCGACTAGCTAGTCCTAATTTAATAGCTGTATTCCTACTCTGCCTATGTGTGAAAATTTTCCAACGAGCCCAAAGTACAACACCAGAATGGACTATTAAAAAAAAAGAAAAGGGATAAAAGGGATAATTAGACAGATAGTATGCGCATACACACAAGAATGAATGATTTTTTAACATACCTGTAATAACTAACGAGATGGTGGTTAGAATAAACATTAATGTCAAATAGCAATACCAAATCCACATTAATTTAAAAGATTGTATGCAAAAGAATTCATTTGCGCTAACGTTTGAATTTTGTTCTTTGCTATCAAGTATTAAACTTATGATATTATAAAAAATTGTCCACCCCCAAATAAATCCAGAGCACCACCAAAAATATTTTTGTTCAATTCTAACATTACATTTCACTACAGCGAACCATAAATTGATTGTTAAAATTATTGGCAATATTTGTAGTGGATAAGAAAAGAAAGTAGTTAATTTTGCTTGAACTATACATAAGGTTACTGAATTTTCAGCACTTATTGTGGTGCTTCTTACAGCATCCATTACGTCGCCATAATACATCGTAGATGGAATGTAGCTTATGTGAATGAAAAAAGCACATACACATAGTTGAAGAAGGGTATTTTTAAGAAAATAAGTTGTTGATTGTGAAATTGACGTTATTAATATCCCTAATAGAATCAAACTTATTAAATTTATAATAATGTAAATAAAATTTAAAGGCGAGTATTCGGACATAACGTATAAAATGTTCAATTTCGTTCAATATTTAAATTTGTCTCAGGTTTAGGAATGAAACAATAATCGTCACATCTCTTTGAATAAAAAAAAATATATATAAAATTTAGAAATTGAATTTTGAAATTTTGAAAAAAAAACCAGGTCAAACGTTCTCGAGACCCGTTTTTCTTTTGTTTGTTGGATCTTGTCGAACGTTCCAACTTGTTGATTTTTTTTCTTTTAATCAAAAATTTTAGCAGCATTTTTATGTTTAAAACTGGCATACCATTTTATTGTTGACTAACATGAGGATGGACCGTAATTCCTAATTTCGGCTAGTGGTAACAAGCAATTTTGCCGTCTTTAAATATATTTTATACATAACGATAATATATAGTAATAAATAGTAATAAATATTTAAAATAAGCATTTATGTAATCATTTACGTGAAACAAGATTTTCACGCATTTATGAAATGCTAATTTAATTTACAATAGAAATGGAATAGTTTACCCTTTAATGGCACATTCAACAATTTATTTATTTATTTACTTGTTAAACCTTGTGAGCATACTGTATGTCGGTTAATGTACTCTTGTTTGTTTTGTATTATGTTCATTGCCGTATTTTATCACTTACGAAGGTATATTCCGCTGCAGATATCGATATGCGTGTACCTTGCTTTGTTAATGCATGTAAGATCAAAAAGCAGACATCAACATATTCCTTTGAAAGGGTTTTCGAAATTTAGTTTTTCATCCTTTGAAAGGGTTTTCGAAATTTAGTTTTTCATCCTTTGAAAGGGTTTTCGAAGTTTAGTTTTTCACGAGATCATTAATATCCAAAAGGCATTTATATTATAAACAAAATATATAAATCGATAATAGATAAAAAATAGATAATATATACTAATATAATTATAACGATAATCGATAGTTCGTATTAAAATACACTGGCAACAAACATTACACAAACGATACCATAATGAACACTGTCTTATTGTACATGTCAAGAGAATCTACAAAATAATGGACTGCTTGCTTAAACAGTTAGACATATCATTTCTTTCACCTGAACAACTACTGTAGCTTGGTTGAAATTTAAGAAATATCGAATTAAATATCGAATTTCAATACATAAATTTTTCAGCAAAATTTGACTTACAAGTTAGCCCCAACAAAAACATAATAAAAACATAAAAAACTTAATAAAAACATCAAAAACATGATAAAAACATAATAAAAAGCATAATAAAAAATGCAGACAAGATCACAATAAAAAGCAGATCCGATCATTTAAAAACATTTTTACAGGTCGTACGGACCAGCAAAAATTATTTTATTGCGCGTAAAGAGGGCAATAACAATAACTTATCAAGCCAATAACTACATATAAGATATTATTTTACATATAAGGTCAGTTATCGTCATTCATATCAGTTATTTAATAAGATAAAGCTTTTCTCAGGTGTAAATAAACGTACATATATACATACTTTTAGGTAAAATACGGTACCTGTTAAGTACTTATGCAGTTCAACTATTGATGGAGTTAATGTTACTTTGATTACCATGAAAAAAAAAACACGAACTACGCGTCAGAAAATTTCTAATCGCTGCATATGTAGCGTATGTATACATAACAACTGTATTATAGCTATAATATAGCTATAATATAGCTATAATATAGCTATAATATAGCTATAATATAACTATAATATAACTATAATATAGCTATAATATAGCTATAATATAGCTATAATATAACTAGATTATAGCTATATTATAGCTATATTATAGCTATATTATAGTTCAATCAGCACATTTTGAAAAAATCCTATGTTTAACATCAATCTAAATCAGAAATTTTGACATTTGCTTAACTAATCACCCTTATAAGTCCAATAACTTGATTTGAAATCGGAATCTATAGGTTCTTGCAATATTAAGTGCCATGGTAACTTGTCTAATCAAAATTTATCTAAGGTTATCGTTATCATTGTCTTTTTTAGTATATGCTTTGGTTGAAACAATACGAACGACATCATGTACTACTGGGTATCAATCTGCTTACAAGTTCATAGAATCGAACCAATGATGGTTCTACAAATTTATCGTAAGCATTTAGTACATTTATACATTTATAGTAATGGTTTGACCACACAACTTATTTTTTAAAAACAAGCAAGTAGGCTGCATTCCATTAACCTTCGTGTTCATTACTAAACTACACTTTAACACAAGCAGATTCCGAACGTTTTTGAAAATTCCGTGTATGAACTTGTATAACCTGCCACCAAGAAAACTTGTTTACAAGCAATATTAAATATGATGTGTAACTAATTATTTAGCTTTAACGGATAATCTTAACCATTAAGTTTTTATTTGAGCCTTATTTTTAAAAAACTATATCTACAATCCTTCCTAACTCTAATTTGTGTAGCCTTAACTATCGGTAAGTGATTGTTGAGGAAACGATATTTAAGTTTAACGCACCAACCGTGTAATTTCTACAATATATTCTGATATCACCATTACGGTCTTTTGCGAAATTTATTTATTAACCCGACATTTTTTTTATCAATCCATGTTTAGTTAAATGTGTTAGAAGTTGTTTGTAGGTTTTGTAATTATATTGCAAAATAATAATACTGAATTTAGCAAATGCATTGTAGTGAATTTTTAACTATATAGTAAATTTTATGTACGGAGTATAACGTTGGACCTAACGCTAAATATGCTGGTGAAACTAATCCATAATAGCGAAATAATTCACTATTGGTGATATCTTTAGTGTGACACTTAGTGTCCACGCAAAGTAATAAAAAAATTCTGTTTTGGATGCACTTCAAATGGTCGTCGAATTATATTTTTAATTATGTGTAAAATGGTTACTTTTTTTTCGTAAACACTAGTGTTAGAGCTCGTCACCATACGACGAGCTATAGGCATAGCAAACATATGTGAATATGTAGGCAGTGATGTAAATTGGATCCGCGCAGTAGGCGTAGCGCACATAGATTTAAATTTGCGCATATATCAGCGCTCTCCGT